AGGCCCCGGGAAGGCGCGTCCGGGGGCTCCCGCCGCCTGAGGTCGAAGCGGGGAAGGAGCCGGTTGCTTGTCCTGGCGCTGTGTGCACTGCGCAGGCCCCAGGGTACGGCGGCCAGGGAGATCCTGCAGATCTTTGCGTATCCCGCTTAGGAAGTGCTTTTGCTGGGCCTTAGTGGACAACTTAAAGCCTCTCCATGACGTAGAGGCTGTGCCAGCGAGATGGATTTTGACTTTTTGTTCTGTCAATGGCGGGTTGTAATAACTAAGTTCCTCTCGAACAGTTATCTCTCATACTGCTGCAACATTTGGAGCAAAGTGTGCTCTGTTTCGTGGTTGTGGAGTGGGTTAGGAACACGAGAGACAAATGCCTCAAGAGCGGGAGCTTGAAGGTGATGACAGGCACTAAGTAAGGGTTGTGTTTCTGATGTCAGTAGAATATTACAGAGATTTTTTTTAAAAGTGCAGGGGTTACAGTTCAGGGTCTGTAAATGTGAGGACCATGAGCAGAAAAAGCTTGAATTGCTTGTCACTTTCCTGTGTTAATGCTGACATTATTTTGGAAAACTTCATAGTTATCAAAGCCTTTTTAAAATACAGAATCTGTGGAATAAAGAACACATTTTCTTTGGGTAATTTTTGGCCCCAGGCTTTGCATGCTGCGGAGATAAGAGTTGGCATTTTGAACCTGATGGTTCTGTGAGTAATGTTTCAGACTTGAGGTCAGATTTCTTTATCTGCTGTTCCTGAGGTGTGTTACATAGCTGAGGGTCAGTCAGGCTGCTGGTTGCTGCAGGCTGTTATGCCCAGGCATGTTGCATATCTAGTGTGGCCCAGAGCTGAATGACAGAGGCCAGGTCGATGGTTTGTAGTTAATTTGAGATAATACGGGTATGGTGAAGGGATGATGGTTTGTCTCAGTTCAAAAAAACTGCTCTCACCTGCCTCTGCAATCAGGGTTTGTGCACAGTGTTTCACATGACCGGGAAGGTAGTTGGCTTTCCAAGTGTCACTTTTTGGGCAAAATGTCTGTATCTATTTTTTTTCCAGCACAAAATAGTTCAGCTGTGCTTATAGCAACTGAAAAAACACTTACGCAGCTCTTTCTGCCTTCTTCCTGCCAGGCAGAGACAGGCATGTCTGTTCAGGAGCGGAGGCAGTCCTGATCCCAGAGGGTGGGGATCCCAGTGTCAGCATGGCACATGATGCGATGACATGTCATGTTAGCCTGGGCTAGGGAGGGATCTTCCCATCTTCTCTCCTCCTCTGGGTAGCTGGTATTTGGAGGACATTCATATCTTGGATTCTGTTCATGTCTCAGAAAGCTCACTCTTGGCGACTGTAACAGAGCCTGCAGGTCTAGGTAACACGTAGTCTGTAGTTTGCTTTATATGAGGAGATGGTTTAATACTGGAAGCATAAGTACAGATGTCTACTTTGTTCTGATTTCCCCCCCGGCCCCCTTTATATTTTGGAGTTTCTCCAGACAGCTTATCTTTTTATCTAGTATCAAGCTCCATGTAGCAAAGCTGACACATCTACAGTGATAATGGCAGTGGTCACATGAACATATTTTCTGTCCTTGGCGGGGGGGTGAAGAGGGGGATCTGCCTATAGTGGATTTTGATTCTTGCTATGTTCAGTGATTTCTGGTACACTTACTAGGTCTAGGTGGCATGTTTGAAGAAATCTTGCAGAGAAATGTGCCTAATAGTCTGTTTCTTTGGAGGAAGCAAGAGCTTCCCTTTTACTTCTACATGTATTACAAATGGGAGAAGTTTCATTTAGTCTTGATGAAGCATTTCAGTTCTGTAACCCAAGGAAAAAAAATGAGTGGATAAAATATCTTCTGAAAATAACTGCTTAAATGCATTATTTTCTGTAGATTTTACATTAGCCTTGGTGTAAATGGATCACAGTTACTCAGAGTGTTTCCTTACTGGGACAGGGAAGCTGCTGTGGGAATTTCATCTCACTTGTGCTTCAAACTGAGGGATGCTCACAGGCATGGTATGTTTTGGAAGTGATGTGGAGCTCATTCCTTTCTGCTGTCTAGAACTAGAACTCCCTTGAAAGTTGCCCTAAACATTCAGTTGTTCTCATACTTGGTAACCACATCTTTTAAGCTATCTCTGTGGACGTGTGCCTGCCTGTTCTTGTCTCTTTTGTGTGTGAAACCCGTGGTGGTGTCTGAAATCCTGTAAAAGGAAAAGATCAAACCTCTGAAGTACTTTCCTTGACACTTCTTTTTACCTGGCTGGATTTTGTTACACTGAATATGATAAGGAATATGTTCTAGGCTAATGCTTGTATTTAACAGCAAGTATTGTGGTTTGTCTGAGTTGTTTACAGGTATATTAAAGTTTGAGGTGTTAAGCTGACTTGGGAGCCTTAAATGCGGGTTTGCAAAAAAAAATGTCTGCATCATACCGCATTACTTTGAAGGGTATTATACAGCAGTTCAACCCAGGGGGAATGTAAATAGTTCCAGTTTGAGGAACAGCCATAAAAAACTGGGCGTAGCTTTTAACACAAGCAGTAAATTTTGTGTTATTTGTTCAGGCAAGCAGAAGTTAAAGTGTTAGAAGGATTGTCTTATTTTGAATCTATTTTGGCCTTTTTAATTACTTCCTTTCTCAAGAAACTTTAAAGTTCAGTGGAGGAAAGTCTAAAAATTTCACTTTTTGGTAAAATAAATACTGTACATAACTAAAATAGTACTTTTAAAATTTTTTTAATGTAAATTTTTAATTTTAATGATTTTTCAGCATATTACTTACATGCAGAACCTGTTTCTCTTGGCATGTGGTGATAGATGATGGCCATACTTAGAGCCACATTCTGTTTGTGGTTATGGCTGTATCCATAAAGTACGATATTTCTGTGTGTTTCCTTGTAACATATTCTTGTGGCTGAAAAAGTGTAGGCTGCTATGTAATAAAAATGAGGAACCCACTCAAATATGAAACAGGCACCTATATACTTGTTTTGTAGCTGTTGGATTTTGGTTTTGTTTGTTTGTTTTTCCCTTGCAGGCTCTTGTATCTGTTCAGTGATTGAAATGGTCCTGAAGCTACAGACAGTGTTGTTGCAGAATTGTGTTCACATCAGAGCCAGACTTTCTGGCGTGGCTTGGACTTTGCAGGGTTACTAAGGTTTTAAATTGAGCAAAAGCTCAGTGTGTGTACAGATAAGTTTTGGAAACTTTTCCAGCTTTTTTGACTAACGTGTTCTCATAAATTCTTTCTAAAGATGTATTTCTGCATTTTTTCAACCAGCACAAAGTGAACAATGAGATTAATTGGATTAGTTAAGGAAATCATGTCAGGCTGAGGCTGAAGTATTTAATTCTCCTTTTTTTTTTTTAATACTGTTATTCAGTGGCATTTGTGTCCTGTTAACCCCTGATGGTCCTCTAGGTTGGTTGAGAAATAGTCTTCATTTCTAATTTTTAATTTATTTGTCCTGTTAGAGCTGGTATTCTGAAATAGTTAAAAGAACTATTCAATACATTTGTTGGAATGCACAGAGGCTTTGAATTTGTGTAATCCAACACCTGTATGTGTTGGAGGAGGAAGAAAAGTGTTAGGTAAGAGTCATTGACCTGAGTGCATAGATAGATAGATGACTATTTTGTTAAAATTTTTCTAGTGTAAGACTAAAAATATGGTGAGTCAATGTATTATTTGGCTTAAAGGTATTTAAGTAGTATAGTGTGCTGAGGAGAAAATAAATAGGGTGGATATCTGGTCTGGAGTAATATGGAGTGAGGCTTGGTCGACTTTAGAGAATTCAGCTTAAGAAATGGAAATCTTTGGTTACATTGGATAAATGTGGGAGAAAATAGTGGGTCTTCATGATGTAAGTTGTCTGCTATTAGGAAATCTTTGTTACAATACACAGTAGCACTGGAGTGTTCCAGCTTTGGTTGAAAGGTGTACAATTTTGCAAACAAAAACGGATGAAACTTTGCCAGTTCTGGTTTAGTTTTAAGAATGTTACAAGTTATGTTCCAAGAGGTGGTATGACATTGATCCAATGCCAGAGTAGTTAATGTGTGTGATTATCTTTCTTTGCTTGCAGTGAAGGTGAACGACCAAGCCAAAATGAAAAAAGAAAAGAGAAAAGTGTCAAAAGAGGAGGAAATCGCTTTGAGCCATATGCTAATCCTGCTAAAAGATACCGAGCTTTTATTACAAATATTCCGTTTGATGTGAAGTGGCAGTCTCTGAAAGACCTGGTCAAAGAGAAAGGTAATGTACAACTCAGGTGGCCAAGTGATGTCTGTCATCTTACTTGTGGCTGACTTTGTAAACTTAAGAGTTGAAGTTCTGGGTGGACTTAGTGACATGAGTTTTGTAAAAGGTCTTCTTGAAGCCTTTTTGGGTGTTGCACAACATCTGCTCCCTGGCAGCCTTCCAGATGAATAGTTCCTTTACAGGCATGTTGGCATTTGGCTAATAGTGCTTCATCGGAGTTTAAAAGAGTATTTTTCTTAGGGGGGAAAAATGAGGCTTTCATCAGGTTTTAGTCTTGACAAGCAACAAAACTTTCTGAAGCATTTCAATGTCTTTTGGGTAATAAAGGTAGATATTTACTGCTGATCTGGTGTGTGTATATATAGCTGTGTCCCCAAACTTTGTAGCGATTTGTGCTTTGATAAAGATCCATACTGCCGTTTGATAGCAGTAAAATGTATTTAAGGGTGACCTGCAAAAAAGAAAAATCAGGTTTGTACTTTGGCATGTGCTGCGGCACTGTTAGGGCTTTGGATATCATGGTCGTGGTGTTTCCCCCTTCCCCACTTCTATTTAACTGTCCCAAATGAATGGGAGCCGCCTTAGTATTTTGACCTTAGCATCTTCATCTCTTGAAGAAGATGAAGTTGAGCTGACTACTCTCAGGTGGTGACGAGTCTAAATGTAGTGTTACTGCTTTAAGCTGATACTCAATTTACTAGTTTTCAAGTCACCTTGGAAATGCAGTGGAGTGTCAAGAAAATACTTGACTTCTCCACTGTTAAAATGTCTCAGAACAAGCTAACGGTAACTAATACAACCTTTCCTCTTGTGGGTCACTTCTAAAATACATAGCATGTCATAAATGTCTCGCAAAATAGTGATCAGTGTTCACTTGTGTTTGAATTGGGTAAGGATTGATAGTTAATGTGTTCACAAGGTGTGGCCTAACGAATGGGAGAACAAATTTCCAAAGGGTTTCAAAATGTTTGTCTTTGGAGGCAAAATGGAACTGAGTCCGCGTAATGAACTTCAGGAGTATAAGCCCTGGGAGACTTCCATAATTAGAGGCTGTGAAGTGTTGATGCTTGAGATTCAGCAATGGTGTTCTGTAACACAAAGAATTACAGTCTGAAAGATTGCTTTAACAGGCCCTAATTATGAATGGTCCCTTGCCTTAAACTATGCTTTCACTTTACTACACGAGATACATTGGTTAATAGGAGTATCTGTATGTGTAGATGTCTAATTTTAAGTACTGTGTTGAATTCCGTTCCAAGTGTCTTGTGGTTTCTCTCCAGTTCACGTGGATGGAAAAGTCCGGTGTGAGATTGTTTCCTGCCTTGCTGTTCAGCTGCTCATTCCAGCAGATACTCCTAGGGGAACATTGAAACCTCTCCATTCTGTCTGCAGGGCTTGTTACGCTAAACATTGAGAAGCATTGTTCTTGGTTTTTGGGACTGCTTGTTAAAATACAACAGTCTAGATTTGCTGTGTGGTTGCGATTCACTCTAATTAGTCACTGACTTCTACCAAATTGGTGCTCTCGTGCTGTGCTTGAACTTGCTCAATCGGTACTTCTTGATACAAGGCATAGTAGTTCCAAGAACCAGGAATGTGACCGTGGAAAAATCTAAATGTTAGAATTCTTGGTTTGTAAGTGTAAGAATTACAGGCCAAACGTTCAAGGTTTTGGGAGCACGTGAAAGAGATCTGTACCCAAAGGGTAAACATAGGCGTTTCATGACTGCTCCATCGCTTGGCAGTTGTGAAGACTTAAGCTGTTGGGCAGCAATGGCATAGCAGGTTGCTGAACGTAGGAGGAATTCACCTCAATCGGCTGGTTTGCGTCAGTAAGTATGGTTTAGGAGACATGAGCTTTGAGGTCTGCTCATATTTCTGCAACCTGGTTTTTTCAGATGCGTACAGTCTTCTAAAGGTGACATCTCTCTCAAGAGTAATGCCTTGGTTCAGTCATTTCAGTGTATTTGTTGGTGAAACTCAATTACAGGTATGCAGTATGACATACTTACTAATGAAATTAAAAAATGTTCTTGTTTGAAACTCCCTTGTATTGGCTGACAAACACAAGGTTCTACTAAACTGATGTAATCAGCATTGATAACTGGCAATTGGTGAATGGCTTCAGGAGAAGAATGAGGCAGCAGTTCTTCAGCATGTAAGTGGAGTCTAAACGTAAACACGATTGAATGCTAAATAGATGTCTTAATTTGTCCCCAACAAATGGCTCTGTCTTAGGGAGAAAAATGGTAATGCTTCATGGCAGCTGGTGTAAGTGAGGTGGTACCATATGATAAAAAAGAACTTGATTTGAATTGGAGATACTTATCGATTCCTTTAGGAAATACAGACTTCTGTGTTTTAAACCTTTTTCTTGACCAGAGTAGCAAGATGGCATACAATACAAGGAGAAAGATTAGCTGTAAAATATTTATGTTCTGCTCTGCAAAGCTGGGGGCAGCTGCAGGCAAGGCCATGCTCATGTCCCATTCAAAGATTCCAGGACACCCTGAAAACTGTTTGTATTAGCGTGGTTGTACCCACCTTTACGCAAGGCAGAGCTGTATTATGGAGCAGGCACACTTACCTGTGTCAGCAGATCTTCCCCAGCTTAAACTTTCTGTGAAGAAGAGCAGCTGCTAAACTTCATTGTGCTGCCTTCTTTCTTGCTCCATTTCCAGCAATTTTTGGAACCTTTGTGGCCTCCTAAAGGTGTAACTCACACCCTCTCGCTATTGTACTCAATCCCAGAGGTTAAGTACTGGTGAGCACTTTTGTTATTTCAGTACTAATAGCTGTTACTCCAGTACCTGAAGACAGCTGTTACTGGAGAGTCCCCTGAGTTTTGGTGCCCAAGATTTCTGTCACAGCGTGCTTGCAGACTGAAGTTTTAGGTGGGCAAAGAGAAAAGGATGGATGAGCAACGTGGAAGTGCTGTTCCACATCTGCCTCGCTTCCCCCTTACTTTCAGTAGATGCGCTGAGTTGCTCTATTTTTCCCTGGCCTCAACTATCTTTTTGAGGAGGCACTGCCCTTCATCAGTGGCTGCAATGAGCTTTTTCGCTCCCTCTTTCCTCCCTGGGCTCTTAAAGAGCCGAAATTTCCCATATTTTTCTCTGGGCTCTCATGCAAAAGTGAGATTTCCCTTCCCCTACTGTATAAGAAAGCTTGCGAACTCTTCTCTCTCTAATTTGGGAAGAATGTTTTTCTTTTCCCCTTTTAACGAAAGCTTTGTACATATATTAAGTGCGTTTCTCTTCTCTCTCCCCAGCCCACACCCCCCACGTAACTTTTTAGAGGTTGTCTGTCATGAGCTTTAAACACTGTAAATGAAGGAGGAGCTGTGACCAATTCTGAATTGCCTCACGTTGAAAGTATGAGGCTCTTGATGGCAGCGTCCTCTGAATCAGTGACATTGATTGTAGTTCTTTACTTCAGAAGATGATGGGACATTCGTATAGTTTTGGTAATGTCTTGAGAGTCTTCTTCTCTAGTATCTGCTTTTGACCCTCTAGGCCAAAGAAATTACCGTGATATAAGGCATTTACTCCTCTTTCAGTTTCTGTGTTTCTCTTCTTGCTGAGACTTGCCTCTCTGCACTTTTCATGCCTTTCAGAGCTTCTTGGTTTGTCGCTAACTGTTAAAATCATACTGCCCAACTTTAGAGTCTTCAAAGTTGACATCTACATCTGAGCTGGTTATCCTGTACTTCCCAAGTATGTCCTTAGGGTTAGCGAATCCAGCTCAGCCATGCCTCAGGTCACTATCTGGACATACTTATCTGAACTTCCTGAACAGTCGCTGGAGAATATCTGAATTCTGACAGACCAGCATGGCTTGAACACCTAAATTTTCTGTGCAGATGAACTTTGGGAAGCGGATACAAAGTGTGAGGGGGAGTGAAAATACGACTAATGATACGTAGCAGTGGAGATTCCTGTGACTTGTATTTCTAATTACTGCAATGATTTCTGCTCAGTCTCTTGTTTTAGGAAACACTGAGTTTCTGAACTTTCTCATGTGTGAGGTTTAAAAAAACAAATTGGTCTGCTCTAAGATAAGTCTTAAAGACACCATGGGGAACATGTTCTTTAATTATACTTGCATTGACTTAGAGCTAGTATTTTCTGCCAGTTTTATCTCCCTTTGGAGGCTGGTCCAATAATAAACTTGAGTTTTTAGGTAAGTCTCTTGTGCTTGAATGAAATTTCTTCACTTACGGATATCTTTCCTGATATAAACCAACTGTTCTCTAGCAGAAAGAAAATCTGCCTGGATCACTGTGCATTTCTTCTGCCCTCTGAAGCAGGTTTAGTACGTGGATATCTGCTCTTGGTACTTTTCCATGGCTTAATTGCCTGTGCGCTATCATAGGTTACCCTTGTCTGCTACTGCTGCTTTATCCCCAGTGCCTGATGTTCTGATACACTGTGGTTTGGGATCTAGAAAAAAGCCAAATAAAATGTGACCCAGCGTATGTTCTTAAAAAAAAAATTAAAAAAAAAAAAAAAAAAAAAAAAAAATTCCTTTGCCAGCCTCAAACAGTAGTCTCTTGCAAGAAGTGTCATGTGGAATCATTTCACATGTTTTTTAGGTGAAAAAATACATTTTTATTGCAGTTGTTTTGTACTATGGACTTGGTGTCTTGGCTACTGAGCTATTACACTATTGTGGCGTTCCCCTCCCCCTGCTTTTTTTTTTTTTTAATTTGGCTATTCAGGAAGTTCAGATGTCCTTTGAAGGAAAGCAGCTACTTCAAGATGTATATTTAGTTTCTAATGTAGGTGTCTATAAGGCTCACATGTGAAGCACTGAGCAAAATTGGCACATAGTAGATTCTTACGAGCGTGACAAACAATTGCTGCTGTGATAGACTCCTGGAAATCTGTGGTTCAGAGCTCAGATTTGTTAAAATAGTAACTGTTAAATCATGTTTAATCTGTTATGTTCAAGCTTGGCAAACTTCTTTGGAAGTGTTTGTGTGGATCTGAAGTAAGAATTGTAGCTGAATTTGATTAGTGGTTGGGACAGGAGAGCCCTCAATCCAGGGGCTCAGGAGTGTTATTAGGAGCAAAGTCACAGAGTTCCAACCTGTGACTTCTGGCCTCTGTGAAATGGAGTGGTTTTGTATTGTAGGTAATCTGGGAATTTGTTGTCTTCCTACATAAATTGTTGAATCACACTTGCATTCTTGATCAAAGTTTGGTTGGACTTTGGCTGCTGCTGTTGAGATGGATGGCTTCAGAATGACTTAGTAATGCTGAGTATTTGGACTCGGTGCACGGCCACCATGTGCCACCAAGGACTAGTCCAGGAGGGCTGTTTACAGCACAGTCCCTTTTGCTACACAGACTGTGGAGACAATTCTGTGTATGCTGTGTGATCTCATATTGTTCAGATTATAGGACGGAATTAATTTCGTTAGGCTGTATTTCAAGAACTATTGTTCAGATGGTGAAGCTATGGATAGTGATCGACCACTGATCTGCCCTGTCCCTTTCAAAGGGACTTGCTTGGTAGTCTCTACCAGCCTCAAACACTATCCTTATAAAAACACAAACGGATCAGAGTTTGTTTATTCTGTCTAGCTAACTGTTCTTTGGCTGGAATGCTGATATTGCTAAATTATTTGTTTAAATAAGAAATGGAAATGAAAAAAAAAAAAAGTAGTGATTTCATTAAGCATTCCTTTTCTTTCAGTAAGAGGGACCTTGCAGGATGGTCGTTTTGGATAATGACACTTAAGTGTCCTGTAAATGACTGGTCCTGAGGGAGATCAGGCTGAACACTTCTTCCTGTCTGTCCCTTGCTTGAGTGTGAGACTCCAGTTCCTCACTCAGAGTATGTTATCAACCTTCAGACTGGGTCGTGGTTTCCCACAAAGACTGCTTTCTGCCTTTCAGATAATGCAACTTGGAGTCCTCCTGTCTTAAACTTAAAAACTAGGAATTCTAAAACCAGAAAGAAAGTCAAAAACATTTTTCTCGATGATTCTTCTGTATGCCAGTCACTTCAAAGGCAGCAGCCATTTCGGTAGTTGTATTCTGGAGGTACATGATATGGTTATGTGGTTATAAAAAGGCAATCCTAATCTTGTGGGGAAAGGTGCAGATGTAGTTTTCCAGTGTGTTTTGCCCTTTGCTATAGACGGTTTTGTCTTGAGAGCAAATGTCAGACTGTTTAATACTACTTATTGAAGCTAAAAAATGGACTTTATTGTGGCTCAACAAAAAGTTGAAAACCTGCTGAAATTAATAGTAGGTAGTCAGTGATCTCTTGGTCTCTCTGAACAGTCTGACTCTCTTTTTGGAAGTTTGTCTTTAAATCCAGAAAGAAGCAAGTAACTGTTCAAGTTCTGGACAACAGAGACAAGATTACATACTACGTAAAGTGAAGGAAACTTGTTCTTGCAGACTTTCCCATGGATTTGGATTGCCTCAAGTAATGAGTGGGTACTAAAGATCAAGGAAACTGATATTGTGGAAATAGCTGGCTTTTGAAGTGGAGGAAAATCAAGAACATGTTTAACTGTTTTAAGACTTTACTGCATACCTGTAATTGTCCAGTTTTGTGGTCTAGAGAACATGGAGTGTTTCTGGGCTTTCTTATAAGGCAGAGGCTCCATACACGGTTGTTGATTGTTCTAAATTCCCATTGTTTTCTTGGCTTTTCTCCCTTGGTATATGTGTCGTCTGGAATCTGATTTGTAGTTGGTGAGGTAACATACGTGGAGCTCTTAATGGACGCTGAAGGAAAGTCAAGGGTAAGTGTTTGAGAGATTTCTTCTGTGGATTTTCTACATGACAAATGTAACTGTATGGTGGCGTGGAACGAAACGCAGTCAGGAAGGTAGAGAGTGTGTATGCTTAGTGGCTATAACAGGATTGCTTAAAGCTTCTTTTGGGGTGGGGAGGAGGTGGGATGGGGCCTTGTAAACAGTGTTAGGGTGGTCTTCCACTGTGTTCAGTTGGCGTTGGCTGTTTGAATGACCCACGGACCCTAGCAGTATGTATAGTGGTACGGAATATTAATGTAATACTTGTGTTTTGGAAAACGTCACTGTAGTGGTTTGCTGAATTTGTAAGGCCAGTGTGCAAAAGCAGGTTCTGTAAACTACACTTCCTGTGCCAGTAAAGAGAAGTCAATTCCTAAACGTAAATGTATATTGCCATCATAGGTACTTAAGTCCTTTAGTCCAGTGACAGTATCTTACAGGGAGAAAAATAGTAGGAGCACGCTTTCCTGAAGGATATGGATTTAGGGTGAGAGAATATGGCAAGGGTTCTGCTGTATGACAGGGAAGAACAGGTCACATGAAGCGTGTGGTATTTTTCTTGGAGAATCGGGACTTAGTTCTGTTTGTTACAACTTCAGAAACTTCAGTTTAATCCTGTTAACGCATAAGAAATTATATCTTATGGAATTCAAGTTTTGAAGGCTTTATTGGGTAAGATGTTTATTTTCACTATTAGGGCTAACTAATGTGATTTGACTTTAAAGAAAAAAAAAAAGTTGTGTGTGTTGTGCTTTTACTTACTTTATTTCTTCTTTTTTCCCTCCTCTCCTCCCTGTTACTCGCCTGTGAAATCATCTCATCAGGGATGCGCGTAAGTTCACTTATGAATTTATAGCAAGAAATGAGGAAACTCTTAAAAAATAAGCAATGTTCTTAGATGTCTTGTATCCCCACAGTGTTGTTGAATTCAAGATGGAAGAAAGCATGAAAAAGGCTGCAGAGGTTTTGAACAAGCATAGTCTTGGTGGAAGACCATTGAAAGTGAAAGAAGTAAGACGTGCATCTGTTCTTTCAGTATGTTGAATTTGAAGGTGAAGGGGTAGTTCTTAGTCAAGATTTATGGCGGACTCATTTGCAGATAAGAGTAATTGTCAAAAGGCAGGACTCATCAAATAGGATTAAAAAAAGACAGTCCACCCTTTTTTTACCATCAGCATGTACTGCTGAATTTGAGTTTGAACGTGATTATCAAGACAAAACGATTTAAAGAATAGGTGCTGATGGTAGCAATGCAGAACTTTGACAAAGCAAGTGTTTGGCTTTAACTGCAGGTATACTTTCTTTTTTAGTTATTTGAAGAAACAACCTGCATTAAGTATTGTTTGTTCTTGACTGCCTTCCCTTTTAATTCTGCATCATAATAAATGTATTCTACAAACAATTCTGTAGAATAAGCTGCTGTCTGAAATACTTCAAAAATCTATTTCCATTTTAATGGCTTTGCTATTGTCAACCAGTATGACATGGTCAGCTCTGCCATGAGTTAATTCTTAACCACTGACAAATTTAAAATTTTATTCCAGCAATCTGGGACCTGTAGCTGCATTGAAGGTTCAGTTGAACAAAAATAAAAAGGGACTTACTTCAGTGTTAGCATTGACTCTTGGCCTTAGGATATGTGAGCTGTGTTCTTGGCTAAGCAGGCTTGATGTGCTGTTGTGCCCTGCCCACATAATGGTGGGGAGTGGAAGATGTCTGCATGAGTGTAAGAAAGAGAGTGTGTGCAGAAGGTTTGCCCTTGGTAACCTGCTTCTTGCTGTAGTCTGAGGAGCGCTCGGGAAGAAGGATGAGGACAGCAAATGGCAGCACTTCTCAGATCTGGCAGATTTTGTGAGTAATGAATTCTGGGGACAGCAGCCTGCTTCTGGGTACAAGCTGTCTTCTGGCACTATTGACTTCTTGATACCTTTTAAAGGAAAGAAGAGGTGAAATGGAAGGTTAGAAAAACATAGTTGTACCTGGAATTCGTCAGGCACTGATTTTCCTAAGAGACCCTTGGAAGAAAAAGCTATTGAGAGTGAGCCACATCTGGGTCCGTTTTCCTGTTAATGATATACCATTAGTACTGGAAGTCAGGTTGCCCTTTGGTTCAGCTTTGAAGAGGTACTTGTAATTTGCCCAACTTTTCATGAAACTGTTGTCATACTTAAATATTTCCGCCTGTATGACACAGAACAGAAATGATAGTTGAAATCATGAAGAAGCATTTTGTCAGTATTAGGGACTTTAGCAATGCTTATCCCAGCCAGAATGCCCCGGTCTGACTGTGTGGAATGAATTTGTGGATTATTGTGGATGACCGTTAGCATCAGTTTTGCCAGCTGTCTGCTTCATACCTCTCCGTGTTGGCTGTCTCACTGCTGAGGAGCATGAAGGCATTCAAGTGACATGATAAAAATTATTATGTGGCAGAATAGATAAAGCTCTGTGCCTGATCAGAAGGCTTTGGTTTGTATGACAACTGCTCCTTGACTTTCTACTGGAGCTAATCTGGTTTTAAGCAATACCCTATTTTAACAGTGAAATAGGAAAATTAAATTGAGAAGTGACTTGTATTCACTTTAATGTGTTCTCCACCTCAGACTACTATGATTTTCTGTAGCTGAAACAATCATGTGAAAGCTATCTTTTCTCTAGTTTTCAAAATGCGCTATTGTTTAGACTTAAAATTCGGATCAAGATTAAAATTAACTTGAATAGCTTTTATTTTTAAAGCACCTGTATTTCTGACTGATCAATTATATTTGACATTTCACTTCCTTCAGCAGTCTTGCAGTGCTGGTGCATTTTGCTCACTGAATACAGTGTGACATTTGCAACTTAAGTAACATAAGTTTGCCTTGTATTGTGAAGGTACTTACCTTCACTTTCAGTATAAAGTGAAGTGACAATAATTAATCTTAATTCCTTCCTTGAATTCTTCATCCTATGCTTCATGTTCTCTAGCATGTCCTAAAATTGTGAGATTATGTAGTGATAGGGGGATACATTAGAAGGTGGGGTGTTTTGGGTTAGAAAGCCAATGTGGGGGGAAAAAATAAAACGTTGCCCAAACCAACCTCCTTGAAATTGTAAACGCTGTGTCTTGTTTTGTAAAGAAGTCCAAGTGCAAAGTAAAGGAATTGTTGCATTGTTTTGAAGATGCCAAGGGTCAGTTGGCATTTGTCTTCCAAAGCCTCTCCAATGCTGTTCTGGGTTTATCAGTCTTTGGAACAGATGTAACTGAGGTTTATTGTTGGTATTGAGTAAGAAATAACCACCGTCAGAATCGGTGGAAATGCGTGACAGGAGTAACTTGATAACTTGAAGAGTGCTGGCATGTTGGTTAAAAGAAAATAAATTAGTGAACGGCAATGACATGCAAAGTAGTTGGCTGGAGAGCTATAGGGAGCAGATAGCCCTCTATAAAGGGAAAACCCTTCTTTTGACTGTTTTAGTCATGCCACTAAACCCCCGTGCATTTAATGGAGTATGGAGGGAACCAAGTCTGTTGTTTCTGTTTTTGCAGGATCCTGATGGTGAGCACGCCAGGAGAGCGATGCAGAAGGTCATGGCAGCAGCTGGTGGAATGGGTATTGGTCCAGGCCCTGGCGGCCCCGGCATGATCAATATCCCGCCCAGTATACTCAACAATCCCAACATACCTAATGAGATCATTCATGCCCTACAGGCAGGGAGACTGGGAAGCACTGTCTTTGTTGCAAATGTAAGTGCTGTGTAATCCATGAACAGAATATCTTGGTCTTAACGGAGTTAAGTCTGGTGAATTAGAAGAAAAGCCTTAGACTTCCAGCTCTGGTCCAGTAAAACTGAGCAGTAACTTACTCTGTGGCTAGTCTTGTTGATTATCTGTGCTAGTGAAGTTGTAAACTAGGATGAATCCTATATGTTATGGTGTCTGTTAACTTGTACTTTTGAACAGAGCCAAGAATGTTGCATTAAACTCTGTAGAGTTCTTTACACTATTTAAATTTTATCCTATCTCTGTGAAGACTGTTTGTTGATTGCTCATATTGGGAAACAAAATGTACAAACATTAAAGCTGTTTGTTGGTGGAAATCTTTTTCATACTTCCAATGTCACTTGTCTTTCAGTTGGATTACAAGGTTGGTTGGAAGAAACTGAAAGAAGTGTTCAGCATGGCCGGTGTTGTGGTTCGGGCAGACATACTAGAAGATAAAGATGGCAAAAGTCGTGGGATCGGCACTGTCACTTTTGAGCAAGCTATAGAGGCTGTTCAGGCTATATGTATCCTTGAAGAGTAACGATGGTAAATAGTAGGCAAGTAACTTAATAAACAAAAGATGAAAATATAAACTCTAGTATTACAAGTAAGGATATTGCTGTGTCAGAGAAAGTCAAGGCATTGCAGTGAATGAAAAACATAAGGAAAACTGAGAAAGGAGAAGAAAGGCCATCTTGAAAGAATTGTTGCTGTTTGCTTAGAATCATTAACAAAGTGGATTCTCTTTCCCACACTGAATATATGTTTCTAGCCCAAACGATTCTAGGTTGTAGCTAGTATTAAAATGCAATTTCTGAGAAAACATTTGTCTTTAATTCCTATGATGGAGGTAAAGGAGGAATGCAACAAACCCATTTGCAATGTCAGATAGCTTGACCTAGTGTGTTCCTCTGTGCCTTGTATCCTTACACAGTGCAAGCTAAGGTTTGTTACGTAGGAATCTACAAAAAACAAACCAAACCACCACAAAGTACAGATGCTACAGTGTACGTGATCTCTCAACTTGTGGCTGTGGTATGGAAAGGAGGAAAATATTTCCCTCTTTCCCCTCCCAAAGTTTCTATTTCAATGTTAATTCCATTCTGCATGTGTACCTAAAATTAAGCTGTGTGGGAGACAGACTTATACAAATTTCACATGATTCACTAGTGTGGTGTATTTCAAAGTTTGGCTATTTGTTGATACGGAAATTTTGAGAACTTTTGCATGTTTTTCTGCTGTTTTAAGTGGCTAAAATTACTGATGAAACATTTAGACACCTAGACTGGTTTGGAGTCACATTTTGAGTGATCTATCTTTTAATGAACTTAACCAGAAAAGTATATTTAACTTGTATTTTAATCTTAACAGCCGTTCTTTGAATATTCAGTTATTTGCATTTCAAAGCTTTTGGAGAAGGCAGAAGGATTTTTGATAATCTGTGGACAATATTTTAAGAAGCAACCTGTAGAGGTGTGGTTTTCTGACTGGGGTTCTGTACTCTGCATCAGATAATTCTTAAAGCTTTAGGGCTTTGTGTGGTTCTAGCACTTGAACAATGATCCTTAATGAAACAACAGCAATGTTTAATGGGCAGCTGCTGTTTGACAGACCGATGCATGTAAAAATGGTAAGTATGTTCAAATTCTTACTGCTTTTTGAACTGATAATTGTGCTCTGGATGTTGGATGATGTGTGGTTTCAAGGCTGGGTTGAAATACCAGGTGAGGTGGGGAGGGGAATGTGTGAATTGCCTAATTCCTGATGATGTCAACCCATGCCCTTGGGGAAGGTTAATTCTGGTTATTTTGCTATAAGGCAGTAATAAATACAGTGAAGATTGCTTTAGCTTTACATTTCTGTATTTTAATTTTTTTTAAAGGAATAAATAATTTCTTACTTTTCTCGCAAACTTTAATGTACTGAATTGTGTTTAGGACGAACGAGCCTTTCCCAAAGGAGACTTCTTTCCTCCAGAGCGACCTCAACAACTTCCTCGTAAGTCTCTCCTGCATGATTGAACATGTTCTGGTTTTTATTTTGCTGTTCAGCAACTGGGGCCCAATCCCAGCCCCAGTAAGACTGTTTCAGGCTTTGGAAAACTGGGATCCAAATGGTCTGAAAAATATCAAAGGGGGAAATAGTTAGGAGCGGTTGCTCAGTCTTTTATTTTGGATACCTCTTTCAGCTCATAGCTAGAAGCCTGTCTTAAAACAGTATCCCATTCATGTTCTCAAGGCTTCCAGATCTCTCAGTGGCAATTTGAAGACCCTGATGCCTTATAAAACTACTGTTAATAGTGGGATTTAGTGGAAACATAATTAATTAGTCAGTAGGGAAAAGTGTGCCCCCTTTTATGTGATGGTATTCTGGATATCTAATGTTCTTCCTTCAGTTGAAAGGGCTGAATTGAGGACCTGAGAATCTTCCAGGTTTTCGGGTTTCTAAAATGTATATAAATATCTGAAGGGAGGGTATAAAGAAGAGGGAACCAGGCTCTTTTCAGTGGTGCCCAGTGACAGGGCAAGAGGCATTAAGCATAAAGTGAAACACAGGAGACTCCATCTGAATATAAAGAAACATGACTGTGAGGGTGACTGAGTACTGGAACAACAAGTTGCCCGAGAGCCTGTGGAGTCTCTGTCCTTGGAGATACTCAGAAGCTGCGTGGACACGGTCCCGGGTAACCAGCTCTGGGTGGCCCTGCTCAAGCCAGCAAGGCTGGAGCGGATGATCTCCGGGAGGTCCCTTCCAACCTCAAGCATGCTGTGATAAGATACTGAAAGCATTGAACAGGAAGAATCTGGGCTGGAAGGGAAGAGTTAAGAGGTGGGAGAACACAGGCTTGATTTGTTTAAACACAGCAAAAGTGTAAAGTGTAATTCTGTTAATTCAGCCTGTTGCTGTTTTCTTAGGCATGGGAACCAAACCTGTTGTGTGCTGCTAACTTGCACAATGTTAGTGATCATCAACCAATCCATCCTTTAATTAGTTCAGTTTTCTGTGTATTGGTCAAAGCCTTATTCAGCAGCAGTATCATTCATGGGTTTTACTGCTGCCTTGACTTTCTATAACAATATACTTCTCTTTCAAGAGAAAGTCATTGGGTTCCAATTTAATTATCTTTGTATAAAATTCGACAGATACCAGTGGAAGCCTGTTTCTTGGCCTTTATTGGGGCGGGGAAGGGGTATCTTGTGTTGTTTTAAAACAAGATTCAACACTGCCTGTGTTTATTATGCTGAGCTGTAAATGAGGAAGTCCTCTTCTCATAGGCAAAGAATACCATTAAGCTGTTGTTTAATGCAAGTGCAAGCAGAGAACGCTTTCTTCCTGATTAACTATGAGGAAAATATGAGGGCTTTTTCTTCTTTCTTTGGACTGGGGAATCCTTAATTCATTTGGGTACAGGAAGTTTCAAAATTATGCCTGGGATTGATATACTTTGTTTGCTCAGAGAAGAGGCTGGCTGTGTGCTCTGAATTCTATAGGTGGCTATCATAATGATAGGTTGAACTTTGTGGTGAAATTCTTTCCTACAAGGGAAGAACCTTGGCAAAGGTGGAAATAAGCCATTTGTCAATCAAGGGTAATACCGTGCAAAGGTTAGAAGATCTTTATACTAAATTGCCCACTCGATTCTCCTTAGATTGAGGAGTTGCACAAAATAAGCAGTGTTCTAGCCAGTTATTTTTCAGGAGTCAGCTTAAAACCAACCAACCAAGCAAGTTTTCTCAGTAGTAAGCTGGAAAATGGATTATGAGGAAAAAAAAAATATTTGAGATAGTTTTTAGTATATTTCAAGACACATCTACTCTGGATTTACTATACGCTTTCATGCTTTAAGTACACACCCCAAAGTGGGAACACAGCAAGCTTTTTGGAGAATGGAAGTCAATTACTTAAGAATAAAACTTGCTGTTTTGTCAAACTATGGAAAGAAGGCTTTTTTGATATCTGAATATTTTCTTCAGATGGTCTTGGTGGTATTGGCATGGGATTAGGACCTGGAGGTCAACCTATTGATGCAAATCATTTAAACAAAGGCATGGGAATGGGCAACATGGGACCTGGAGGTAAGAAGATTACTCCTATGCTTTTGTTTCATGAGAGCTTTAAGCTGTGTAGAAGGTAGATAGCTTTGTTTTGCCTACACAAAAAGTTGAAGTGTATTAGGAGTGTTAAAGCCAAATGAGTTTTTGTTGAGCTAAGTAATGAGCTTGATAATGGAAACTTGAATTTAACCGACTGCTCCATTTTTTTTTCACTGTGGTCAAGGCACAGCTCTCATTTTCTGACTCTTGAGCATGAGCAGCAGACACTGCAAATATACATTAAACTTTTAAAACCATCTGTCACTTTTAACACTTATTAGTGGGCTTGCAAATCTTTGTTTAGGGTATGTTTAAACAGCACAAGTAAAAGAGCCACCTAAAAAGTAGCACACATTCAGCTTTCAATTTATAAATGCCTATGGGTTTTTTCCCCTTTGCTGCTTTGTTTTCTGAGAAGGAATGTTGCAATCTACTCGGAGTTATCACATGTAAGCTCTTCAGTCCAAACAGTGGACATGTTGTATGGTCTCTGTTTCTACAGCCAGTCTAATGGCTGAACTTTTGTAGAATTACGTCTGCTATATAAAGCTTTCTCTTTTATTTTGAGGAATGGGAATGGAAGGCATGGGCTTTGGAATGAATAAAATGGGAGGTAAGCTGTGTTTTCTTGACATGTATATAGCTTGGGCTCTCAGAGTCATGTAAATGTAGCCATATACGTCTAGCAGGCATTTGTGTTCTTTGAAATTGTCACTAATTTAGTAATAACTTGTTTCTTTTTGAGTATTAATAAAACTGCTGTAGGTGGATGGGGAAGGGTTAACACCTCAGATAAAACATGACCAATGTTTTTGCCATGTAACTTGTTAAAACTGCCTTTGGTTTAGGAGATAGTGTGACTAAATTCTCACCAAAGTTTGTTTTGTGCGTCTGTGATACGGAGTTGTCTTGGTGCCTGTGGAAATGTTCTGTGAAAACAGCTTATGTGGGTGAAGTGTAGCGTTAAGTTGAAATGCATTGCTAAAGAATCCCTGAAAAATATTTTCTTTTAGGAATGGAAGGTCCTTTTGGTGGCATGGAAAACATTGGTCGCTTCCCAGCTGGAATGAACATGGGCAGAATGAGTGGTAGGCATTAGGTGGTTTTTTTTTTTATTTCCAACTCCTGACCTGTGTTCTCTGAAAAGGTAACACTGGAGAGACTTTCGGGACAGGTCATTTCCCTCTTCGCTGCTTTTACTGGTAAAACTTAATGCTTACACCTAACACAGCGTGCACAAATTGCTCGTGGCCTCTGCTATAGACAACAAGTGATGCGTTGAGGTTCTCTTGAAGGACTAATTTAGAAAGAGATGAAGTGTGCTCTGTCTGTATTCACCAGAAAGACGTCTCCAGAGCAAAGTGGCTGCCTCGAATGTGTTTGTCCTTACTGAGATGCGTCCTGCTTTATTTGGTCTCAAGAAGGCATCATAAAATGATCAGGAGAACTTAAGGAAAAAACTTACCTTGTTGTTAATATTTAAAAATTATGCCTGTATTAAAATATTCTCTCAGGAGTCAGTTCGACACCCTGAAGAATATGTCTGACTTAATCTTTTCAGAGATGGATCGTGCCATGGGTGGAGGATTTGAAAGAGAGTTTGGAAGAAATGAAATGGGAATGTCTCGTAGTTTTGGAGAGACCTTGGAGAGAGGAATAGGTAAATACACCAAGCTAGGTACTACTTCTACCTGCTTTTCATATCTGAACTGTATGTAAAAATTGTGTGTATTTTGTTGTAACAAAATAGGCTGTATTTTATATATATTTGCTGTAGTAGTCTGGTTTTGATCAAACTCCTAAGAGCTCTACAGAAGGCAGATGGATATGGTAGCAGTGATCTGTGGGGCTGTGTAATGGAATTTCAGATGCAACAGGAAACATCACAGTTTTCATGGGCTTGCACGTGTCTCGTGCCTTGAAACTTCATGGTAAACTTTCATATGTGTGTGGCAAAGAGGAAGGTTCTGAATGATCCATGACCCAATCCTGTCACTAAAACACAGTCTGCAGCCTCGGCAGAGGGGAGGAGAAATATGGTCAAACCTTAATTTCCTTCCATTCCTCCCAGACGTTTTAGGAATCTGGTATAGACTCACACATCAGATTATTGAAGAGAATGCCTTGCCGTGCAACTTGTGCAGTGCAGGGGTGTTCTCTTGGTCTTTCCTTTTGAACCCCAGTGGGAAAAGGAAGACTATCAATATAGCAGATAACTCAGTGTAAAATATTACTTGAACTGAGCAAGGCTAGTGCAGGGCTGTTTTGTCTGTAGCAGCTTCAAGATGACAAAAGGTATTAATGGAAAGATTCAGAACTTGAACATTTCTAATGTCTTCTGTGAACATCTGTTCTGTGTGAGTACAGCTTGATTCAGCTCATTCCTGAGATTGCTCGGTTATTGCTGTGCTCTGTTAACTTGATGTAACTTAATTTTTAATGAAAGTGAAATGCAGTATAGTGCTGCTGGTACCACTCGACTATAAAAATGGATTGTGCATGCAAAGAAAGGTGATCTTTGTATAAGTCATTAAAAAAAGACAAATATTCTTAAAATTAAGGTTGCAAAGCAAATTCAGCCTTCAGAAAAACTCAAAGCACTTAAAGCAGCAATTCAGTTATAGTAACTCACTGGTTTTTGGGCTTTTTTATACATATCTCTCATAATGCAATAAAAAATAGTTTTGAGGGAGTTACTATTTAAATAGATAAGCAATGTTATTCATTAAAAATTTCTGATAAAAGCTTATAGGAAGAAAAAATGTTTTTAGACTGTCAGCTTTGGCTGTTGTCCATTTTTGAAATGCTACTGCCAAGATACTGTATTTTCTTCAGTGAAAACAAAGTCCTGCTCCTTCCTGCTGTCTGTATAACATCTGGGTTCCTAGCAAGTTTCCCAGTGATTCTCTGGAAATACCAGACTATTTCAGTAATGAAGTACTCACAACTGCAGAACTTCTGAAACAAAGCTGAACCTAAATATCTCCAAGTAGGCAGACCTCTTCCCCTTCCCAATTTACAGAATTAACTTCATTTGCTTAATGACTGAATCGCAACATTTCATAACCAAGAGCTGACTCTGCCTGCCTGTACAGGATTAGCCCTTTTCTAGGAGACTAAAACCAAAATGCTTCAGTTTTCAGCTGAAGAAATACTAAATGTTTATTGCTGTTTTGTTTTGTTTTGTTTTTTTTTTAATTAAAAAAAAAAGCCAATTTGCTTGTACAAGTATAAACATCATGTAACCTGGACCCATACTGCTGTTTAAGGTCTACTGAAGCTCAAAATACTGAAGCAGGATGAGTGTTGTTCACAAATGTGGTTGCTTCAGTTTTCTTGAGCTCATCTCAGAGTTATGTATCTCGTTTCTCTTCATTAAATATTAAAAATATTTAAGCATGCGTTCTTCAAGGCTCCCTTATATAAGAATCAAACTGAATTGGGATTTTTTTGCAGAGCTCAGTGCTAAACGTGATTTGATAGATGGCCAAGATCCTTCGTACAACAGAAAAATGGCCTAAGCTGGAGGGGAGTGATCCTTTTACTGCAGGAACTTGAAGACTCTTTAGCAGAGTCAGGACAACTCAGCCAAGGGATTTTATGTAGCAGATACAGAAACCCTATTCTTATGTTTTACGGCACAGGCAGCCTTTTTATATTTCCACATCAAAAAGCCAAGCATGGTTTGTGACTTTATAATGGTCATTCTGCTGTGGTTCTTGCGTGGAATTTGCTTTCTGTTTTTTTTGGTTCTGGTGATAAGAAGGCTCTTAGGTTTGGGCAAACTTTTCTCATAGAAATCTCTCCCTGGCTTGGCAGAAGCAATCTTTGAGTCGTGTCGCAAGGATGATGTGATTTCAATCCTCTTCTAAGCAATCTGTATTTGAACTGTAATTTCAGTTACTGAATTATTATTCTTACTGTGTAATCCCCAGTGTACTGCACAGGACAGCCAGCAGCTAAGATTGTATTTAAAATAATCAGTTTTGTCACCTGATTTTCTCCTAGGTTTGCCTATGCCTTCAAAATTTTCTCCTTTGTTTTTCTTGAAAGGCTTTCTTTGTGCATACAGAAGTTAAGCTCCTTAGCGAAGGGATAAACCTTTCTCCATCCCAACTGTAGTGTGTGGTCTGAGATGACTGCTCCCCTAAGTCACGTGTTGTAGTCAGGATGGTCTGCGTAATCACCAGTAGTACTCTTCTTACCATCCGAAATAAAACTTTTCTTCATATTCTGCAGCAACAGAGCACACAGCTTGCAGTAACTTTTCTGAGTAATGGTAGAGCTTGAAGCATTTCAGTAGTGTAAGCATGCATTAGGGTTTTTTGTCCCTGTGTGATTACTGATAATCTGTGTGTTGTGTTGCAGGTGGTGGAAATGCCAGCATTCCTGGGATTGAGAGGATGGCACCTGGCATTGATCGTATGGGCTCGGGAATAGAAAGAATTCCTTCCGGGATGGGGCATGGGATGGAGAGAGTAGGGTCAGAGATAGACAGGATGGGTCTTGTTTTGGATCGCATGAGCTCCAACGTGGAGCGAATGGGTTCAGGCATTGACCGAATGGCCCCTCTGGGCATAGATCACATTGCTCCTAACATTGAGAGGATGGGCCCAGCTATTGAGAGGATGGGTTCAGGCATAGAACGAATGGGCTCTGGAATAGGCTTTGGTATCGAGAGGATGGGTGCTGCCATTGACCGCGTTGGCACCACGATGGACAGGATGGGATCAGGCGTAGAGCGTATGGGTTCTGGCATGGATAGAATGGGCATAGGCATGGAGCGTATGGTCCCTGCTGGAATGGGAACTGGAATGGGGCAGGTGATCGAGAGAATGCCGGCTGGTTTGGATCGCATAGGTGCCACTCCCATGGAAAGAATAGGAATAGATCGTATGGGTGCTGCTAGCATGGAGAGAATGGGCTTGGAGCGCATTGGAGCCACTAATATGGAAAGAATGGGTCCTGCTATGGGGCAGGGCATGGGAGCAGGCATAGATCGAATGGGACTTGCAATGGGAAGCAATTTTGAAAGAACAATGGACATGGAACGTGGAAACTTTGCAGGCAATTTTGCAGGCTCCCTTGGAGGAACTGGAGGACCTGCAGCTGGGGTGGCCAGAAAAGCCTGTCAAATATTTGTGAGAAATGTGAGTAGCCTTCTTCCTACCTCTCCTTCCTCCTGAAATCAATTGGTACTGACATGTTGATCTCATCTGCGCTCGGTTGACTTGTCAGAGTATCTAATACTGGATGCTGCCAAAGGTGGAGTTAGGTAGGCTTTTGTGAGTTGAAGCCATTTCCTTAGCAGGAGAAGAGCTTTCTGCATCTGTAAATGAAGATGCTGAACAATGGCTGTCCCAGGATGGAAAACATGTTTTGAAGAGTTGGCAGTGCTTGCAAGTAGTTCAACAGATCCTCAGTAACGGTCTGCTCTTCTCTTTTTCACAGCTGCCTTTTGATTTTACATGGAAAATGCTGAAAGATAAATTTAATGAATGTGGTAAGTTACTGGTAATTACTCTGAGAATTGAATATGAATTAGACAGTATATCCTGGCTCTGTATGTCCCTGACACTGGTATTTAAAATTTCACTCAGACTCACTGAAATGCCAGATCTTAACATTGACAAGTGTTGTAAGGATGTTTACTATCCCAGCTATACCAGCAAGAATTCTGTGGAGTTAAAAAGAAATAAATGCCTGGCTAGTTGATAACCCACTTAACATATGGTTTTTTTCTAAGCCTTTGCTGCCTTCTTCCTCTCAGGGGCCGAGGTTAATAACCTCCTTGCAATTGCAGAAAGAGATAGAAATAGAGATATGGAAGTCCTGAGAGTTGCTGAAAAGCATCTGCACACATTCTTTATATCTAAGTGAACATAGTTGTTTGGGAAAACCGTCCTTAAAAAAAAAAAAATAAAATTGAAAAAATTCTGAATGCAGCTACTGACTGTTGGGGTGTGCAGTTCAGCTTCGGGGAGGTTTTTTTTATGGCAGCAGTTGCTGTGCCCAGACCTTGCTCCTCAGTATTTTGTGCTGCTTGTCTGATGGCAAAATCAAGTCCCAGCCTCCTCAGTTGTGATGTGAAGTGGGCGTTGACGAGTTGGACAGGGCTTGTTAGTGTGTGCTTTGTTCTGTTCATCTACTTCTGATGCTGCTGCTTGAGTGGGAATTGAGAGAACACGTTTGATTTAATTAATGACTTAAACTGAGAGCACGTCTTTGAAACAGTGACGTGGTAAAGTTGTCCAGCAGCTTTAAGTTTCAGAGTAATGGCAACATCTGAAGGTGTGCTTTCTGTGGCTTGAGGTAGAGAACTGTGATTTACCAGACAGTTATGTGGTACCTGCTGGGTTAAACAAGGCCCTTTCTTTTCTTTTTAAGGTCATGTGCTGTATGCTGATATCAAGATGGAGAATGGGAAGTCTAAAGGATGTGGTGTGGTTAGATTTGAGTCCCCAGAAGTAGCTGAGCGGGCCTGCCGTATGATGAATGGGATACAGCTCCGTGGGAGGGAGATTGACGTGCGAATTGATAGAAATGCTTAAGTAGTTGCCTTTTTAACACTGATACCAGATTTTTGAATTTGTATTTTTTCTTGTTAACCATTTTAATTTGACTGGATGTAAAGGTGTTAAAACAATTCAGTTGCTTCTGGAGTAATTTTAATTACTTTTTTAACAAATGGATTTCCATTTTACTGTTTTTTGCATTGAAACTGCAATGTGCACAATCTTTTTTTGTAGTTGTGGCATCTTGTTGACATTACAGATGTAAACAGTATGACTTTGATAATAAATGCAAGTTAAAGATTTCAGTCACAGCATCCGTTACTGGCAGCACATCCTATGCTTGCAAAAGTATCTGTAAACTGAGCTCAGTAAACTAGAATTTGTATTCTCTTGTGAAGTGTCAAGCAAGAATGTTCCTCTTGGTTGTCAGTTTATGACAGTATGATTTGGTCTTTAAAATGATGCATTTGTGCATTCACACTAATGTTTGAATGTCTTCAGGGTGCAGGGGACTTCCCTTTCCTGTATTCAGACCTAATCAATGACCACTCGTAGCAAAAGGCTGGTAGCTTAATTTTTCTCCGGTGGCAATGCTGATTTTAAAAAAAAATAAATAAAATATCCTCTACCTTCAGTTGTGTCAGTGCCATTCTGAAGGCCTGAACTGAAAATGGATTAAAAAACCTATTTTTTTTTTTCTAATGTAGAGCATTCCCGTGGGGGCTGTGCACACAGGTGTGTCGGTTCCAGTCAGGAAACAGCTGCTGCAGGTGGAAGGTGGGGTTATGTCACCACCTCCTGCAACAAATACTGTTTTAATAACAAACCAGAAATGATTGTTCCTGAATGGGAATTCTTGTGGGAGGAGAGCTGAAACTATATGCCAAAGACAGGATTTCTTGCCCTTAGCTCAGTTGGAGAGCTGTGTGGCCTCCAAAATTAAATTCTTCTTACAGTAATGGGAACTGAAAAGACATCCTCATGGTGGGCTTGACCGTGTCAGCAGGACTTTGCTCCTTTGCCTTCCCATGATCTCTCACAGGGAGATGTACCAGTATCATTTCTGATCCTGGGCAAGTGAAGAGTGGGGACCCTCGCTCTAAAAATTTTTGCACAAAGCTGGCATCCAAACCATAGCCCCTCAGAAAGCTCTTGGAAGTGTCATCCACTGTAGTTGATAAGCTAAAGCTTACCTGCTTGTCTTGTGGTGAAATTTGCTCTGCTTTATGACACCACGAAGTTGGGTGGCAAGAGCCAGAGTGGTGTCAGAAACCTGAAATGTGGAACAACTGCTTGAAGGTGTTCTAATAATTTTTGGAGCTACTCTATAGGGAGAACAAATGTCACAACTTGGTCTTGGTCTCTTAACCCTTTCTCCCTGTAAACTTTAAGGAAACATGCTCTCAAGAATGCCTTCTGTTGATGTTTAGTTTCCCCTTTGCTTTCTCCATGAAGAAAATCTCACCTAAGAGGTTCCTGCCTTTTCCACCAGCCCCTTCTCTTGCCTCTCTCCCCTCAGCTACACGGAGAGGGGAAGTGCTTGTGTGATAAAACAGCTGAACTAACCTTGGGTGTAGGCTTGATTTTTTGGTATTCCAGTTAATTGAGGAAATTTCCTGTTGCACAGCTGTGCTGATGGAAGGTAAACTGAAGCAGGCAAGTGCAGGAACCTCAAACCAGCCTTGCTGTTGCAGAAAATGGAGCGATGAGCTTTGGGCGGGCACGTTCGCTGCAGTGTTGGCTGCTGAGCAGGAGCAGCTCTTGCTGCAGGAGAGACGGGGGATGCTGCAGTGCTGGAGGAACAGGAGGAGCAGATACTTCACTTGGTATTTTGTACTTTGGAATAAAAAAATCCCAACCCCAAACCTCGACCCTGGTGCATTTTGCTTCACAATAAAAACCTTAGTTACAACGTTGTGGGAGTTTCCTTTTCAGTCCCTCTCCTACTTCCTCCACCATTGTTAGCAGCTAGAAAAGATGGGTTTCAGCCTTGTCACTAGCAAAACCAGACTAC